TGAATGGGAAGGATAAAAACCAAATGAATTTGAATAATCATTCCAAACACATTAGAAAACAAATTACGTAGCATATCTCTAAATAGAACAATCGAAATCGGTGGATGAACACCATTAGGTGAAGACTGGATACGGTTACTTAAATAATGTGCAACCTATATTATATCACTGAAGATCACCAACCACTCGACTATAGCTTTAGTCAAGATGCAGTGGTGAAGTTTGTCCACCAGGACGATCTGATTGAGTAACTCTACCTTAGACAATTGTTCCTTTAGATACCGTCATACTAAAAATGTCGGTTGAAAAGCTTCAAAGCATAGATAAGTCCCTTCCAGATACAAGGGTAAAGTCATATTACTGACTGTAGCAGTGTGAGATTTTCTCGTCTCTTAAATTTCTTCTAAAACTTGTCAGGCAGGGCGAGACTATAATTTATGGACGAATCATAGTCCCGATGCCTCATACTATATTACGAACGTCCTTGCCTCTAGTAAGTATGTGAATACTCCTAAGGTTACATTAGTACTGCTCAAAGGTCGTCCATAAATTAGTCTCACCGATATACATGCTGATAGCATCACCAGTATATAAGCCTTAAAACTACCACCGTGGGAAAATCAAAACTACCGACGAGTTACCTGAGATTCATCATCTTGGCATGGTTTAGAATCAGAATAAGAATTAACAAGTAAACGATATCGTTCAAGAATTTTCAGGTCGTCATCTGCATTATCACCGTAGAAAGCTTCCATAGGACTAATCTCATCACGTAGCATGGGAGAACTACCCTCCTTCACTTCGTTACTCTGTGTTTGGATTTTACAGTCCTCTGTAGATATAGTACTCTGCCTTTCATCAATGAGATTTGAAGATTGGTAAGAAAGTGGTTCGGCCATTTCTTCGAAGAAATTTGCAAAAACTCCGGATCCACCAGCAAGATTTTGGCGAGAATGACTGGCCGAGTTTTGGTTTTCAATACTAGATGCAGATACATCTTGAAATGTGTCTTTTAACTCATGAGTCATATGATCGTCTAACTTTAGCATTTATTTATATTGATGGGTAGAATGGTCACCGTTTAGTCCCATGTACGCATATGAAGCAAGACCGATGTCGTTTTACTGATAAATTCTGTCAGCAAGACTTGATGGAGAGTAAAGAATTAACTAGGCTTCTAACATACAGCCCATTTGTTCTACATAACGTAGCGCAGACACCAGAAAGCCCGGGTCGGTATTGAATATCTAATATCTTCTTCAGTCTTCAGTAATAAGGATAATAGGTTGATGAACCTGTATTAATCCTAACACACAGCTTCCCAGAATTATCAGTTCACCAGTGAACAGTTTAGAATAAATTCTTGAAGCTACCACTCGCCTGTTTTTCTTTGAGTAGAATTTATTAGTTTAATTAGTTAAGAGTCGGACGCAAACGACTAAGTATATGCCAAAGCAATAGAGCTCATGCTTCCATTCACTCCTTTAGATATTCTGATTTCATTTCCTTACCCTTGTTTCTCTTACAAGCTCTGGTAACCATATAGAGGGCATGTAGTAAACCATCAGCGGTTGTCGCCGCAGAAATTGAATGCTATAAGATTACAAGCCGACAGATGAAGAGACATCTACGAACTGTCGTCGAATAGTGACAGGGGCGGTCGCCATTGATTGAAAGCCAAACACTGAACAAGTTGATATTTATCCTTTGGACTGTAGAAACAGAACGTAGATGCTCGTGATAGATAGGTTGATCGACCCGACGTTCCTACAGAACACGATTCTGGGAGGAAGTTAATGTAAGAGCTTAGGTTGACTAGCTGAGAGTCGACCTCATACAACTAAGTATATTTCAAAACAAGAAAGCCCAAGTATCATTCATTTCCTTATTTTGTAAAAACATTATATTTCCTTTTATCTCATATTGAATGTTGAAAAGCTTTTTGTGTATGATCAGTCGATCCATGGCCCCACGGTGACTGCCACGCGATATAAATAAAGACCTATTCAATACTGGTCTGGGTTTTTCTATCAATAGAACGAGGGTTACCGAAAGGCACGAAAGAATCACCTACTTCAAATGAACAACTCAAGTATACTCAGCAACATGATGAGTTACGTGGATTAAGTAAGGTAAATAATCTTCGTTCTTTTGGAATCTCCTTGAAGTAAACGTTACGAACTTCCTTAGGTCTGTGTAAACGCATCTGTGTTCACCTTCCTTGTATGAACTTTGTATGAAATTAAGCATTGTTTAGCACCAAAGTTGACTTTGTTTCCGCAAATGTTCTCATTTCAGCGTGTCATAGACAATTTTTTATTCAAATTGAGCTATTATTGCTTTTTCAGTCCTTGATTTTGGTTTTGAATCATTTCTACGACATTTTGTGGCATTCTGCCAACTGTCTTTGTTTTCACACGACTCAATCTTATATTTCAGTGGTTGCTTGTTGAATTATTGTGGTTGACTACCTGCGCTCGAGGGTCGACTTACTTTGTCCTTGAACTTCACAATAATATTCTTGGTTTGCCAGGAGCACGTGTAACAAAATGACTGTTTCTAAAAGTCATGATTTTCCCTGCTTGTTTTATATATAATAACTGTTATTCAGTGTTTCTGTTGCCATATACTAATATTCCTAAGTCTTTTAATCTAAAGTTATATTATCCGACTCTGAACAATGCCTTTCTTGCTGTAATATGGTGCCAAACCGTTGACAATTGGATTATTTTCCAATAAACTCAAGGTTAGAATATTGACCTTTAATGACATATTTCATTACTCACGAAACTCTTGAGAACGAACTTAAGATAACTAAGAAAACATAAATCGGACGTTCAGCACTCGCAATTCGGAAAAGCCTACTCAGGAATACTAAATAGAACCGGTATGGTTCAGTCGCATGGTTGTGGTCACTCTATGTAACGTCTTGTTTTCATTTTATACATATTATTCCATTACTACTGTGAATGTATTCAGCAATGTTTCTTGAGAGAAATTCCACTGACTTACATGATATTGTGAGACAGTACAGACAATGATGTGGCCTAGTAGTAAAATATTATAGGTTAGGTAGTCATATTATGTCAAGTCTGTAATATTGGAATAAGTGTAATATTTAGGTGGCATAGATAATTTCACTAATAGAGCAGTAAACCTAGATCATACAGATCTTTGATTAATACGGTTTATTGAATCCATGCAGAAAGATATGTTGTGCCATATTTTGTTGGAAATACGTTTGTTGATTCTCGAGTATTAGATGCTTATTTGCTAACCACTCGATCCGCTGTTTAGTACTCTATTTTGTACCAGAGAGACCTTTGACTGTATAGTGCAAGCTGATCAGTTTGAGGTACTTTGCACTTCAATTTAATTTTTATATGAAGTTAGGTCCGTTTAAATGGAGGGCAGAGTCTGCTTATTGATATAATTAAAAACGAGTGACTCAAGAATTGTTTGTATGTTACGAAGAAGGAGGTAGTTCGACTTGATCGAATGAACTTTGGTTCGTTAGCTTTTCATTCAGACTAATGATAATACGTTATTCTCAAATAACAATATGTTACAAAAATATGCCAGTTTACAAGCAAGATCAATAAGTTGCAAATGCTATGGATTTGTTATAATGGATTATTCAGTTAGGTTGAAACGTTGTATGACACAATGATCATGAGAACAGGAGGATAGTGTTTCGTGAATTAGAATATGAAGGTTAATGATACTCGAATTTTCAGAATACGTTTTGGAGGATTCTTCGCGATAAGCAAATGGTGATTGAGAAAGCATGCGAATGTAGTTCAGAGCTGTTTATAGCAAGAAGCAATGTGATGGCTACATGACAAGGCATTTTAAAACACTAACTTTTACGCATTATTTTGTGTTTATTGATGATGTTTCCAGATGAATGTCATAGGTATTAATGAAGGCGCAGAACGAAGTCATATGTTCCATACATAAGTTTTTTGGAGAATACCATCAGGTTGCTGAAAATGAGAGGGAGAAAAGCAGAACAGACAATGTTCATTTCTGATGGATTAATTAAGAGATAACTGCTTGAGCTTATTTCATCTAGCCCATGTTCTGACGGACATGTGATGAAGTAATAACAGCTTTCTGTCTGAAATTCAGGCGTTTACTACTATTTCAACCCAATACAACGAGTTTTGATAACAATTCATATATATTCCAAGTTTTATTAAATCCTATCACGGTTAAGCAGTCGAGAAAATCTCCTTGTGACTAAGCAAACGGTATCAAACTCAACAAACTAACTGGACCACCAGTTGGAATTCTTCTTCTTCGTCGTTATAATTTTTTTCTTTAAGTTAGCCTATTAATTTAGGTGAGATTGAAAACCAAGTCATTCGAACATCATAAAGACATAATACTCACTTCTTATGTATTAGATTAGATAGTCACATCACGAGAAACCTACGATTTTGAGATTATGTCTATTATTATAACAGCAAGTATAAATGTACTGATATCGAATCAGACCATAATGCTATAGATCTACCATTACTCAAGCCAGCTGTCAAGAGCTCTGTAATCACCACAAGGTTATTGTCGGCAGGATTCTTCCTATAGGCCATTTGTACTGACAGGGTTTAAGGAAAAACCTCAGTGAAAGTGCAACAACGAGTCAACATCAGCCAGTGAGAATCGTAACACAGGTCACTCAATCTAACAACACTATTACTGAAAACTGTTGTTCAAAATCGTTCTTCCAATATATGAATAAACTCAAAAAAATTTCAGGGAAGCGTAGTCCTTAGACGAATACATTTTATGTTCAAGACTAAAGCCAAAACAAGTGGTGGAAAAATTGTGACCATCGTTGAACAACCACAATAAAATCTGAGTTACTGAACATTCAAAATCTCAGTTTTTAGTGAATAATGTTGATATTCTTGTCATAATATTTGTGTGTAATTAAAAATAGTCTATTTTTTATTATATGCATTATCGGAAATGATTTTATTATTTTGTTTTACTGTTTCACGGTTGTTTTCGTTTGTAAGTGCTCATTCAATAGGTCAGTTTCCGCATGAGAATCAAACATAGAATCAAGCATTCGCCATTCACTGAATGCAGATATCGTACTGCATACATATCAACCTACGCAGCCTTTGTTTTTTTGCTCATAGCTTTTGTTACTCCATACTGGTTACAATCATGGCCTAGACTTCATACACCTTTTATCCGCTTAGGATTGTGGGAATTTTGTGTCAATGGTTTTGTGCAACGTCTAGATCCCAATATGATTTCTTACTACGGTTGCTGGTGGATTCTTTCTCCTTATATGCAAAAAATATTCACGGATTTGGTTCCATGTACGTTTAATTTACCTAAGTATTCATCGTGAATCGGATTAATTTTAGTTTGGTTTTTGATCATCCAAGTTATGGTGACAGTATCTCTATGTCTACAGATAGTAGCAGTGGTCACTCTTATTGCGTACATGTGTAAAAGGATCAGACATGTGGAACGTCAGTCGTTTTTTATCTCGTTAATTACATTCTGTCATTCTTGCTCAAGTAAGTTTTTTTTCAGGTCTTTGGTCTTTTTGACAGCAAATCATTCAGTACTTTTTTATGCCTACAAACTAGTTTCTCTCTTCTTTTCTCGGTACTTGAATGAAACGGTCAGTTTCCCTCCCATTTCTAACATGGTATTATAATTCAACCCAAATAAACATTTTTCAGGGTGTCAATGTTCATTCTTTTTTAGCTGAGTTTATTAACGTCTCTCATTCCTACATATTAGACGTAATTTTATTATCTAGTTGAAGTTTCCATATAACTCCCTTTTATACTGTTTGGGTAGACGAAAATTCGACGAAAATATGGTCATTCCTATAAAGTTGATTTCTACAGTTGCATACAGGTGGATTATTATGGAAATAGATAACTGTTCATGATATGAATTGATTACAAAGATTCAAAATACTGTTCAGTGCACCAAAATCATTTCGACCAGCTATTGTTAGCCAAGAAGAGAAAAACTAATAATCTGGTTTTCGTATAAAGTCCGTCATGCTAAGGTTCAGTACTACATAAATATAATTTCATTTCAGATTTGAACTTTTGGAAAACCGACATTATGCCACTTCAAGTTTTTTATATCTATTAGTCACATTGTCGCTTGCTAATTTTTATCAGTGTATAAAATAATTCTTGAACATATAGTGTCTTTATTCGCCTTGACACTTAAACACACAGAGCTTTAAACAAATACGGTGCTGTTGTAAAAAATATACAAGGATTTAACTGTACAACCCTGTTGCTGAAGTTAGTAAAAGTCTAACTATCAACTCACCCATGGCATATTTTAGTGTAGCTATACACTGTAAATAACAATAATTAATATTTCTGAGTTCGAAAAATTAGACTAAATCCTTTCTAGACAGGCTCGTGGTAGTTTTCATGGTCATAATTAGTTAAAACACGTGCTGAAGTTGACTTTCAGACATCAGCCACCTTTATATTGAGATATCTTAGAAAATGGCTTTACCACTGCCAAGTATAGCTGCTTTCAAAGTTTTAGTGAAAATGTACAAGTGTTTCCACATATTTAGCAGAAGAGTAGGACATTAAAAGTTGAAACGCTCACTTTTAAGACTTTTTTTGTGGATATTCATTTTATGATAATACACTGGCTTTTATAACTATTCTTCAAAGTATACTGGATTGTAAAAGCCTAGATAAATTGTTAGTATAAAATACATTTTGTTTTTTTTATTATCAAAATGTAATGTGCTTGGTTTAATGTATTGATATTATATAGTTTAGATGTAAAGTGTGGAAGAATTTGTGTGCAGGCCAACTTCAGAGATGCAGTTATCCTAAAAATCACCAGAATAAGGCAGTAATGTAATGTTTGTAATGTAATTTTTGTCAGCGTGACGGAATTCTTAGAAAGGTTTAAGTCTTCGAATCTTTGGTGTTTTGAGTACCTTTAAAATGGGATCTTAACAGGTGTTGTGGACAAGACTAAAGAATATACTTTTATCAGTTTTATGATCATTCTCAATAGCATGTTATGCGTAGTATAAATCTCGTTGTCTGTCTAGACCGTAACACTTACATTTTTCAACGTTCTTTTTTTATAATTTTGCGTTAAAAATAGGAAAAATTCGTAATGATTCTTATATAAAACTAGACATAGCTTGACTAGACGGATTAAAAGGCTGTGCAACAATTTTCGCAGTCTCATGAATCAATAAAATAAGAAACAGGACTTTTAAGGGAGCTTTTACGTCCCAAAAAAGAAGATAAGCGGATGTCGCAATACATTTATGGCATTTCTAAGATGTTTTAATAATGGTTGTAAATATCACGTACTACTTCGTCAACTGATAATGATGTGAGTGAAGTCATACTAATAACGTTTGCTCGGACAACCACAACTAATCATATTATTATTAATTTGAGTCGGTGTCAACTGCGTTAAGTTAGTAAAATCTGATAAAACTATTCTGAATTTGAAAGGCTTGACTTCAGAGTATGTGTCTTTTGATATTCAACATTACGAGTTCAACCTGATTTCATGTCCACTTTATCAGTTATCTCGAGTTTATTATAGGGATTAATTTATCAAACCTCTAAGCATACAATAGTGTATGATCTGTCTCATTGTAATAATTCTCTGATGAATCATCGTAACTGATTTCCTAGTTCAAATAACTGGTTACAAACATTCATCTTAAGGTAAACCTTAAGAAATTAGAAAGTCATGCGTTTTAATAAAATAAATCACTAGTATTTGTTTACCTAAATCAGTGTCATACTGATCTAAAAATTTGGTCCACCATAAAATGTAAAACATAAATCATGCACATAGTTTAAATAAGTATTTTCCTAATTGTTATTCAGTTATAAATGAAATGAATCCCTGTTTTACTACCTTACCAACGATGTTAACTTAACCATGATTTTTCTCAACACTATTCTGAATCCCAGAAAAGTCATCAATTTTCTCAGTCATAGATATATCAGTTTAACAGCTATAAAACCAAAGTTTTTAATATTTAACTTAACTTTTTAACTATTTAACATCAAATAATATTGTGTTGTTTTCATTTTTTTTTAAATAGCAATTTTAATATTTATATCAGTGGTTATTTTCGGTGTAAATTATCAAACAGAGACTTGGATGCCTTATCCTACATTGAATTGGCCATCTTGGTCATATGGATTTGCAATTCTTTCTGGTTTCTCTTCATTATTTTCAGCTATTTCATTTGGTCTATTCAATAAAGAATTACGTCGAGATATTCAAACACTAGTATTAGAATTTCCAATGAGCACTAAAATTAAAACACGACGTCGATGGAAATTAATAAAACGTCATTGGCCAGAAGAAGCTTTACCAGTTAAAATAACAGATGAAGCAAAATCAACATTTCAATCAGGACAAAAGTATCATTCACATTCTGATTTAGAAGCACCAATAGGATCTATGGAGAGATTTAGTGAAGAATATAGTTTTAGTGAAAGTAGTGGAAATAATTTAGTTCGTGATAATCGAAAAATTAAAAATTATCATGATGGTAATCGACAAGACTCTGAAATTTAAAGAGTATATACTTTATTAATTGTAAAAATATCGTCTAATTTAATTTCTTTATAATTTAGTATTTTTACTAACAAGAATATATCTGTGTTATAACTTGTATGCCCTGTATGCCCTGTTAATGTATAATGGGATGATACCGCCAATTGGAGAACAATGAATTATCGATAAGACCAATGACGCATAAAATAAGTACGAGCAGTCCAAACTCTGTATAAGTCCAGCCTGTTAAGTCCACAACACCAATCTCAGCCTCTGCGATATAAATCATTTATTTCAAACATACTGGGTTTATTTACCAATCAAATAGGCCACATTGTACCATAAAATAGAAAATAACATTTCTACAAGATTTAACCAAATGTGTCTGTGAAATTGGGAGGTAGCAATTAATAGACAAGGCATAATTCAAGAATGGTTAATCGTACAATAATAGTCTATAAGTCAAAATAAAGCTTATGGTAGTAGAAACATGAATATGCATAGCTTAGCTACTTACTAATTATACGATAAAAATATGCATATCTGTCCATAAATGGATCCTAAAATGTACCATTCATTATTGTCATCTGGATATAAGAATCTGTATTAAAACCTGATATTCTTTTATTTTGTTAAATCCTCAGATACTTGAGAATCTATAAACATCTAAAATTAGAATTACAGTATTAGGTTAAAAATAATTACAAAAATATCTTTGATCGGATAGTTAATGTAAACATTTATCAGCATAGTATTGTTGGGAAGATTATATTGAACAACCAGAGTGATCATTTTCTAAAGTCGATAGATGGAATAGATATTGACGAATATTTGTAGCTTAAGATGAAGATGTTGAAAAGTGTTGTTTTCTTTGTGAGTTGAATAATTTAACTGAGACACTTTCATTCTGCTTCTGGGTAATATCATGAGGATGTTTTTTGAAGGACAGGTTACAACCATCGAATTCAGAGAACATAAAAGAATTGGAAGATTGAATAAAATAATGAGAATGGAGATCAGATGTATAATAATATTCTGCAGATAAAATGACTACAAATGAGTAATTACGTATTGTACAAACATAAATGCTTAGTTAGACTCCCATAAGAGAAAAGAAAGAAAAGGATGTGAGTAAAATCTGTCATCTTAAACCATAAAGTTACAGACTGGCGAAGTCGTGCTGATATACATTTTGTAACCAAATAAGATTTGTCAATTTACTTACTGATTACATTTAAAAAACAAATTGTATTTTCTTCTCAAAATCATCTATTAAATTTTGTCTAATTGATCAAAATAAATCAATTAAGAAATCTTATTAATATTTAGGAACCATTTAAACATTAAACAACAGTACAAAATGAAAGTGAAACGTATATTTCGGTCATAATCACTTAACCATAGTTATCTTTAAAGAGTTGTTTAGAAATGTAATGGAAACACCAAGTGAGTAATGTCAAGGTTGGACCAATGTAAGGTACTTGGTGAAGATGACAAATCGGTTGTTAAGACCGTTATTTTCATCCATTGAAATGTCTAGGGTATGTGCTACGCATGTAGAGCGATCGCTTATCTCATGCGAAACGATGACAATTACCAAAATGATTCGGGAGAAATATAGCGGCGAACAAACCAATTTATACCACCAATCCATTACATAATTGACGTGTTCTGAGTCGTGTAAGTAGGTGCAAAATTCTTGGTTCATGTCAACAAATTATCTGTTGTTGCCGGTTGGAAATGCTGGTTGGCATGGCCCCAAATCAGTCATTGTGACACAATTTGTCCCTTCTAAATTTTCAGTTGAATGGTATTCGCAACTTCTCATTCATTCCTTTCAAATCGCTTCTCTCCTTTGTTCACCACATTAAAATACTATAAATCTTCCTGATATGTGGTATATCAACCTGGAGAGGCATCTATTTGTTTGTAATCATTGTATAATTTTCTATGTGTAGATTGGGACAGTACCTTATATTTTGACTTGATATTTAACAATTCATCAATACATTCTTTAAGATACTAAGCACTCAATGTCTTTTTCAGAAACCCACATCAAGTAGTAATCCGCGGAACAAATTTTGAGTCTGATCATACAACTGATCCTTACGGGAAGTTGATACACTCGGTTTGAAACCAGTCATTCAATTCTCCTGATGTCAACACAAATATTGATTCCTTTCGAACGTTATAAATTTGGTTTTGAATCAATCGTGTTACTCATTGCCATCGATTTGTACTTTTCTTGCAGAGTATTCCATATTATTCATTACTTATTCTAAAAAACGCTATTGGGGATTTCACAGTAGTTAAACAAAGTAATAATTTATGTACTATTGTTTAACTACTTAATAGTAGTATGGTCCTCCATCGAAATTTGTTAGTGACGTTCAAAAACCTAACCATATTACCAAACTAAGCTGTAATTTTTGTGATAATCTCATTGCATGTAAACCGTTGTAAACATTATTTTGGTGAGATAAGTAATAAACCTACGTTTTATGCAAGAGGTTCAATGAACCTGGATCCATAACTTTTAAATTCCTAAATGCTAACACACGGAAATATTCAAACCTAGACTGACGTTATGTATGATTGCAACATTTCCTTAAATAGACTATCAGAACAAAAGTATTCAGTAGTAAATAGGTGAAATGTAATGTAAGATTAACAGTTGAAACTTAACCCATTGTTTTTTCGAATACGTTTTAAGATTGATGAAGTGCTGATTATTGGGTGTATTTTAGAGATTATTTGCATTGGAATATATTTGATATTACAGACGGACTTTGTTTTAATAATCGTTTAAAACTAAGCAGAATCAAACAATTGATTTTTACTAGCTTGGAACTTTTCAACAATCAATATCCATTACTTTAACAGGATTCAGACCCGAAAACATAGTCTTGTGATGAGTATATTACGTATAAATCACTGAGTTAGAATGCAATAGTTCATATTTTTAGCTTCTTTCAATCAACAATGCTACATGACTGTCATGAAATGTCATTAGTGAGATAACTACATTATTTTCACAATGTGATCAGATCCCAAATGTCATGACTTTGAGAAATGATACTGAAGTTACTGTAAGAAGTTATTCACTATACAGAATACGATTATCAATTAGTTGGATGAATTATAGAGATTATTTTAATGTAAAAATAGAGTTTTCCAGTGTTTTCCGGTTTTCTATAGTTCCCCATATAACAACAGTTTAAGATAACTTTCTAGAAAATGCTAATTATGTAATCAAACATACTGAATTAAAATTAAGTTTGATATTTTAAAATAACAGTTGGACAGTAGCCAAATTTTACAATTCACTCAAGAGAAAACTACTCATCATCCGTAGTGTCTTAGTATATACATCATAATATTGAAGCCATTTACAAGCTCATTGTTTTCTTGTTTACATAACTCAGATTTACCCTAGTTACTGTTTACAATTAACACTTGTTAATTGAATGTCGAATATGTCCAACTCTTGTCATCACTTTAATATCAATTGCTGTATACTAACGTCCTTGTAATTTTTACAAAGGTAAATGACTTCATTTCCCCTTTTTCACCTAATGACCCATGGACATAATACTTGAGCTTTATATTTATTCATTTATTCATATCTATTAATTGATTTGTGATTAATATCAGAAAGGGGTTTAACAGATATTATAGTAATTTTATTAGTTGAGATCATGAGTCAATTAAATCTAGACTACCATGGAAAACCTGAAAGCACTGGACGGCGGTTACATCCTAGTGTAGAACTTCTCAACAATACGCATCCACGATCCCACCACGCAGGATTTGAACCTAGGACCTATTATTCTAGCACACAAACGCTTAACCTTTAGATTTAATTTGTGATTGATTGATCTTAATTTCTATATAGAAAATGATAAAATGTAATCATGATAATAATCCAGTTCATTATAAGTTGATTATCAAAACGTTTAAATTATTTATATAATTTACCTTTGAAATATTTCAAACTCCTTTTATAGTTGTTATCAGTTGAACACATAGTGACATGTTTAGATGTAAGTAAGAAAGTAAAAATGTTGTTACGAACTGATTTATTTCTACAGTCAATCGTTGAATTCATTGACATTGAACTCGGCAGTACTTAGTACTTATCAATCAGCAACTTGATAAATGTATATAATTCACAATATCATTAGATCAATCTGCTTCAATCAAGTAATAAAATTAAATTATTGAGTTATATATTTACTCCTTTCTAATACTACTTGAAGAAATAAGTTAGATAGAATAGTGTCAACTGAAAGTTGCCATTTCATGATTCTAATCTTATTTACATTTATTGTACCCTTTTTTTTTAACGTAGTCATTAGGAAAAGTTATTTTCTGTTATCTGGATATGATTTTGAATAAGTGTTCATTCATTTTATTTATTTAAAGACTAATATTTGAACGAAGAATATTCTTTTCGATCAATTCTCTTCAAGTTCTATAATTCATATATCCCAATTAATAATCCGAAAAAAATGGCCAAGTTAAGGGTAAAGTACATCGTTTAAACCATGTGAATTTAAGAGTGTGGCCCCCTAAGAAAACCACCTGATTCGGTCTGGGCACCCGGGCAGTATCACAGCCCTCACACATATCGAATGAGATTTGTGTGGCACATATGTATTTGGTGCCTCCTTATACCAATATCTATGTGTTGAAATAAATAAATAAATAAACAAAATACAAAATACAAAAATTGTTGATGTTGATATGAATGTTAACTTGAATCTGCGTATATGTGAGATTTAAGATCCATGATCAGAATGAATATGGGTCAAGTAGGGTGAGAGAGAAATAATAGTGCAATTACAATTCGATCAAATAAGTAAGATGTAATACGGATGGATCAATGCGAAGTGAATGAATCATGTATAGGGGAGATTAATGATGTTTAACCACTAATTGAAAAAGATTGGTTTATACTGGCACTATTAGCAGTTTGTACTAAATGGGCCAATATTGAGCTGTTCACCTTTGTTTAGCCACTCTGGAAGGTATACACGAGCACGAAAGTGTGTTTTTTTTGTATTATTTATTTGAATTCTAAGATTTCGTGATATTATTTCACCTGGTCTTAATACTAT